TACTGTGATTTTTTTTTTTTTTTTTTACATGAAAATTACCAGGAACAACAGCCAATTTATGATGACCTGTAAATAATAATTAACATGTTTTTGTGTGATTGTTGTCACTGCTGTGGTTGCAGAGATGAAAGAGGTTGAACAGCGCCACACAGAGGCAGATGTTGTTCATTTCATCATTGTAATCTTTAGAGTTTATTACTGGGCAGAAAGAATCACTGTCACCTTACTGTTCTTATCCTGAAATAATTAAAACATGTTTTATTATTTAGAATTATGTATAAAGTAAATAACAGTTCTAAAGTTGTTCATATGAAAATAGGTGACATTATAACTCTTACATCTTAGCCTCTGCTGACTCCATCTGACCATAAAAACACACCACACTTTCTACAGACTGAAACTTTGCTTCACAAACTAATGTAGCGTCTGACACGTGTTCTTTTTATTTGGATGATTAAGTCATTAACAAACTGCAATGTTCCCATCGACTAAATACTCGAGGTTTTTTTCAGATAAGAACAATCTGGGAGCCAGTTATTACAAAAATAATTTAATACTAAAATATAAATCTGTTTAAAATAATTAGGATATTTCTAAGTAATGAGTGGAGTTTCTCGTGCCTCACCGAAGTCTTCACACTCCTTTAATTTATTCATATTGGGTCAAGTTATAGCTACAAACTTTAAAAAGTATTTTTCTGGGATTTATGTGTCCAACACAAAATATGCACAATTGTGAAGTGGAGAGGTAAACAAATATTTAAATAGATTTATACTTTCATTTCATATGAAAATTCAAGAGATCCAGAAGCATTACATAATTTCAACATTATTAAATACATTTATCTCATTAAATATGTAGATGAACAGATGCTCAGATATATTCATCATTTAACACGGATTCCTCATTTTTCTGGACTGAATAAAACGTGCATTGAATTTAAGGAAATGCAAACGTGAGACGTCATTTATATTTGACCCATCAAAATGAATGCGGTCATTTATTTACAGAATCAAAATTTAACATCAAACATTTACATTAATTTGGCAAATTATGAAAATAACAACATAAGCAATCAATCAGGAAAAATCATACGGCCATGATTTTTCCGTTGCTTCACCACAGACATTTATGAAAACTGTACAATTATGATCTTTTACCCACATGGATGTGGGTGAGCATTTTACACAGACATTTCTAAAATATCTGGAAGAATTTCTACTTGAGAGAAAAGTTTAAAGATGAAAGAAGTTAAGAGGGAGTAAGAGGGTGTGTGAGGGGAAGTAAGTGTTCACCAGAACCGACACTCTCCATCAGAAACCCAGCTCGCCTCGGTACGCTTGGTAGGAAACTTGACCCATTACCTTTCTGATGATAATCAGCAGATATGGTGTTCCGTTAACGCTACCTTTCCAGCGTCTCCTTAGTATGGCTGTAGCTCGTCAGAAGTAGTGGCGAGTGAAAGTGTTATATTCCCATGGAACTCGGAAGAGCTTTGTTGTCATGTCAGGATCATCCCGTCTCTCACAGAACTGAGCAGAACTGAACAGAACAGAACTTCTCCAGAGCTTCAACAGAACTGAACTCTCAGAACAGAACTGTGCAGAAAC